CCCCCCGGGCCCCCGTCGGGGCCGGGAGCACCCCCGCCGCTCCTCTAAAGCCGGGACTGAACGCGGACCCCAAAAATCGGGGTCTGGGTCCCGGGTTCGAGTCCCGGCCCCGGCACTTGTGTCTAGCAAAGACCAGTATGAGATGGTACCAGGGCAGTTACCCAAAAATTGGAGCCAGAGCTCCAACTTGGACTCAGCTTTCCAGACGTGGCCTCACCACAGCCTGGTCCTGCCTCTACTCATCCTTCCCTGGGTCTCTCAGGCAGCTTTTTTTTTAGGCTTGCCACCCCTGAGCAGAGCCTGGTCCCATCCTCCTGACACCCCCTATAGATTTTGACCAGCACTGACAGAAAGGAGAAGGGGTGATGGGCACAAGTTACTCCTGGGGAGAATCCAGTTGGACACAAGAGGTAAATTTGTCACCACGAGGACAATCAAACAGTGGAATCATCTCCCAAGGCAAGTGGTGGATTCCCTCATATTGGACAATTTTAAGTCTCAGCTGGACAGGGTGTTGGACCACCTCATATAAACTAGAGTAGTACCCAGAGAGGTTGGACCAGATGATCCTCGAGGGCCCTTCCAACCTGGCACTCTAGGATTGGGATCCCCCCTGAGTCTTCTCTTCTCCAGGCTCCCAGCCTCTCCTCACAGATGCTCCCATCCCCTCAGCACCTCTGGACTCTCTCCAGTAGTTCCCTGTCCTTCATGAACCAGTGAGCCCAAAACTGGACTCAAGTTTTCCAGACGTGGCCTCACCAGGACCTATTTCCCCCCCATTTCCACTGCTCGATCACAGATAAAAACAAACCCCACAGAGGCATTTTTTTGTTACAAATCTCTTTTCCTTCCAAAAATAAATATCTGCACCTTGAAACCAGGAGCCAGCCTGTGTTTTCCAGGAGCACTCCTGGGGAGAATCCAGTTGGACACAAGAGGTAAATTTGTCACCACGAGGACAATCAAACAGTGGAATCATCTCCCAAGGGAAGTGCTGGATTCCCTCATATTGGACAATTTTAAGTCTCAGCTGGACAGGGTGTTGGACCACCTCATATAAACTAGAGTAGTACCCAGAGAGGTTGGACCAGATGATCCTCGAGGGCCCTTCCAACCTGGCACTCTAGGATTGGGATCCCCCCTGAGTCTTCTCTTCTCCAGGCTCCCAGCCTCTCCTCACAGATGCTCCCATCCCCTCAGCACCTCTGGACTCTCTCCAGTAGTTCCCTGTCCTTCATGAACCAGTGAGCCCAAAACTGGACTCAAGTTTTCCAGACGTGGCCTCACCAGGACCTATTTCCCCCCCATTTCCACCGCTCGATCACAGATAAAAACACACCCCACAGAGGCATTTTTTGGTTACAAATCTCTTTTCCTTCCAAAAATAAATATCTGCACCTTGAAACCAGGAGCCAGCCTGTGTTTTCCAGGAGCAGAACCCCCTTGGTGACAAGTTTCAGTGTGACAGGGCACTGGAGCTCTGCAGAGTTCCCCGGGAGGCTCGGACAAAGGCCACGTCCTGCCTGTGCTTGATGGCCGTGGGGGGCTGGCGCCTGAGCAGCTGGTCACCACTGTCCTTGGGGTCAGGGTCATCATAGATGGTGGAGATGATGATGGGACCATCCCGACGGGGCTTCTTCACCTTGCTGAAAGTTGGGAGTTTCTCCCCATGGTACCTGGAGGGAAGGGGGAAACATTGGGTTTGACCCCGGTGAAGGCGTCAGGTTCCCGGTGCTTCCCAGCTCGTTTCCTTCAGTTGCCATAAGGATTCTTGTCCCATTCCTGGCTGAGAAATGGCTCTAGAACAGGAGGTGAGACTTGCCCAGGGAAGCTGTGGCTGCCCCATCCCTGGCAGTGTTGAAGGGCAGGTTGGATGGGGCTTGGAGCAACCTGGGCTGGTGGGAGGTGTCCCTGCCTGTGCAGGGGTTGGGACTGGATGATCTTTAAGGTCCCTTCCAACCCAAACCATCCCATGATTCCATGATTCCCAGTCCTCAGACTGAACCTCAGCACTACACAAAGCCTCCTGAAATCCCACAGAGGAGGTTGGGGTGAGGTGCACAGCTCCTTGGGCTTTCCCCACCAGAATTCCATAGCAGAGGAGACCCTCAATGCTCCAGCACAGCTCTCCTGGTTTGTGTGCTGGGTGAACCTGCAAGTTTCCTACTCTACCACCACAACCTTCCCTAAGGAGAGCTGGATGGTTGGGAAGAGCAGTGTGTCCAGCTCTGGATTGCTGTAGCCATGCCACATACTGCATGGACAAAGGCAGATCCCTGGGACACCTTGACTGCTTCCCACTGCTCCTTTTGTGGCCACTCCACCCTCCCAGAGAGCCCAGGCAGGAGCTTTCAAGTGGAGCTGGCAGGGCAGGGATGGTTACTCACCCCAGGCCCCTCTTGCATCTGGGGTTTTGCCCCTCGTTGTCCAGAGCTTCAGTCATTCCAGAGTTGCTGCTCCCCAGTCCCAGCCCCTCCATCCAGCCCTGCTGCTCCAGTACCTTCCTGCCAAAGCCCTGGGAGAGGGGGAAAAAAAACATCACATAGCTGGAAAAAGCCCATCCTCATCTTCCCAGAGCCCTCCTCCCCCCCAGCCCACATCCTCTGAGTATCACCACAGCCTTCCCCTTCACCCAAATGTGTACAGCTCTGGAGCCCTCAGGAGAGGAAAGACATGGAGCTGTTGGAAAGATCCAGAGGCCACAGAGATGATCCAAGGGCTGGAGCAGCTCTGCTCTGGAGACAGGCTGGGAGAGTTGAGGTGTTCAGCCTGGAGAAGAGAAGGCTCCAGGGAGACCTTCGAGCACCTTCCAGGGCCTGAAGGGGCTCCAGGAAAGCTGGGGAGGGTCTTGGGACAAGGGCAGGGAGGGAGAGGACAAGGGGGGATGGATTAAAACTGGAAGAGGGGAGGTTGAGGTTGGAGATGAGGAAGAAATTGTTGGGTGTGAGGGTGGTGAGAGCCTGGCCCAGGTTGCCCAGGGAAGCTGTGGCTGCCCCATCCCTGGCAGTGTTGAAGGGCAGGTTGGATGGGGCTTGGAGCAGCCTCGGCTGGTGGGAGGTGTCCCTGCCCATGCAGGGGGTTGGGACTGGCTGATCTTGAAGGTCCCTTCCCACCCAAACCACCCCATGATTCCATGATCCCTCCCAGCTCTCACCTTGGTGTGTCTCTCAAAGCTCCCGACCTGCGGCCCCCGGGCCGATCCCTCCTCCAGCCCATCCCGGAGCCTCCGTTCCAGCCACATCTGGACTGAATCCCGAGCATCCTTATCACCTCCATCTAGGGAAAAAAAAAAACAAACCACCCCAAGAGTCAGAGCAGCACAGCTCAGGAAAGTCATTTCCCCCAGAGCACCAAGCAACAAGGAGGCAGAACCTGTTCCTTTTGGCACCTCTCTCTGCCAGACAAGAAAAACGTTGTTTCAAGCTTCCTGAAGCTTTCAAAGGATGAGGGAGCCAAAGAGTTCCCCACTGCAGGAATTCTGCAGGCTCAGAACTTCTCAACCTCCCTGGGTTTCTGAAGGGTTTCAGCTCAGATACCTTTGTCATAGTAGATGCTCATGTCCACATCCCAGTCATCTGCTGTCTGCTCATCAAAGTCTGCCAAGAGAAGGGAAGAGTTTGGTGATGCTTCTGAAATGTGCTCCAGAAGAGATGTTCGTGGTGCCCCAGTTCCCTGGTTCCTCTGACAAAATGGGATGGAAAAGGTATTGGGAGACCCCCCCAAACCCCTCAACTTCCAAAACAGGCTGTCAGGAAGACAAGGTAGGTTGAAGCCCTGCAGGTTTTGTGGTGGAAGGTTTAAAAAGTGTATTCCTGCT